AGCTCGGGAAGCTTAACCAGAGAAGCACTTCTCCAACCTTTGGGAGCAACTGCGACTCCCGGGATGGCATGTTCTTAAACTTTCAGGTGACAGAGACCCTGAAGCCCAGGCACTTGGAAACAGTAAGAATGGTTAGCTTTGGGAGTTCGGAATCTCCATAGTCAGATCAGCCCTGCAGGGCAAGGGGTGGGGTGGCTCCACCTTTGACATTTCTCTGGTTGCTTCATCCATTATTATCCCTGCTCTGCGAACCCTTAACTCCCAGGAAGGTCCCACATGGCAAAGCGGCATGTCATTCACCCTGCAATTCTTATTCAATTAAGTATCTGTTCCAAAAGAGCAACTACTTCCAAAAGGGTGACGTGGCACTGAACAGAGTCTGTGCCACAGCCACGAGGAACACAGAGCCGACATTAAAGCAGCAACAGAGGGGAGGAAGTGGTGATGAGTGACAGGCACAAACCCAGCCACACAGCATGTTGGCTGGGCAGGGAGTGGAGTCCAGTGTGTTGTTCAGGCTGATCACAGGATAGTGAATGTCATTGGGAGAAGTGGGAGGCCTGTTCCTGCAAAGGCGGATGTCAGACCGAATGCCTGTCCCCCCCCCCAGAAATTCGCATGTTGAAGTCCTAACCCCCAATGTGCTGGCATGAGGAGATGAGGCCTTTGGGAGGCGATTAGGGTTCGATGAGGTCATGGGGGTGATGCTTCTCTGATGGTACTGGTGCCCTTGTAAGAAAAAAAGACACTAGAGCTTTCTCTCTCTCCACCGTGTGAGGACACAGCAAGAAGGAGGCTGTCTGCCGACCAGCAAAGGAGCCCTCGTGGGGAACTGAGCTTGCTGACCCCTTGATCTTGGACTACCAGCCTGCAGAACTGTGAGAAATAAATGTTCATTGTTTATGCCGCTCAGTCTACGGTATTTTCTCACAGCAGCCTGGACTGACTAAGACACTGGGGACGGAAGCCTGGCCAAGGCGCCCCTCCTCACCAACCCATGCTGGGAACTGGAATCAAGTGAAATCTCCTAAATATGCCATTAGTGAGAATCTGCATCTTAAAGGTAAATCCTAAAGAAGCTCTAACCCTACATTCTTTCTCCCCAATCTCCCCTTACAATTATACTGATGCATCTAAGTTAACCTTCAGGGCATACATTTTTTTTTCATTCAAAGCTACAATGAAAGGACTGCAAGACTTGAAAATAGATGATCCTCTGAAGTTAAAATCAGTCAACCCAAAACAGGCGACCTACGAAGATGACCCCTGTGTGAAATGGTCCGCCACCATCACTTGAGGCTGAAACAATACCCAAACCTCCCTCAAAACACAGGACAAGAACAATAAAAGGAGCTAAAAATAGTGGAAAAGAAGAAACCAAGTTGTTGTTATTTGCAGATGATGGGACTGTCTACCTGGGAATCCTAAAGAATCCACCAAAAACTGAGCAGAGAGTATGTTGTTCAGTAAGGTGAGTAGTTTCATAGAGTTAAACACACAGATATCAGTAATTTCCCTAGAAAACAGTAAAACCAACAAGAGAAGGCTTTGGGGAAAGACTATACTCAGAAGGAGAACAAAACCATGAAATAATGAAATATAGAACAAAAAGACCTCTATGAAAAAAGTATAAAACCTTACTGAAAGTCATAAATGCTATAAAGACATCCATTCTCCCCCCACTGTGCCCCAACTTATTAATAAATGTAATGTAATTCCACCTGCCCATGGTGTTCTACTCTTCTGTGGGCGTCTTAGGTGTACTATTCTGGGATGGCTGTGAGACCTGAATAATTCGCTCTTTCTGGCTCATGTGAGTGGGTTTCTGCTCAGTGCAACCAAATGACTAACTCAGCCCCGGCTACCCTCTGTTTCCTGTGGCCCATAGATCTAGGTGCTCACATCCTCTCATCCATCCTCTTGTATCCCTCTCCAAACAGGCTTTTGAAGCTTCTTGGGGGAAAAAAGTTTGTTTTGCTTTCTTTTTTTTTTTTAAATAAAGAAAGCTTTCTTGCAGTTTTGACTTACCAGAATACCAGCTTTGGCCCCAAGTCAACAACTTCATGCCATTAACTGGCTCATGTCACCACTGTTAATTCGGACTCACAGAAGGATTCCGATTGGCTGAGCTCACTCCTCGAATCGGGTTTCCACCATGGACCCAACTGGCTGTAGCCAAGAGCAGCCGAGTCCCCAGGAACTCTGGGCTGGGCTGAGTCAGGAAAAGGGTGTCAGCGACAGAGGCAATGGCTAACTCAGTTGCACAGTTCTCCTGTGACTAGCCGCTTCCATTTATCACCTGCATGGAGAGAGGCACTTGGGGGTTTCATCTCATTCTAACTCCTAACATTTTTCTATCCACCTTGCCAAGTAGATTCTCTCATCACCTTGACAGGAAAATAACTGCCTGCTCCAGGTAGGCAACTCTCTGTGGTCACTCGGCCGCTGACTTGCACGTCAAAGATGAACCAGGTGTAAGTCTCAAGTGCTGGGGTGCTGGGGTTGCACCTCCCCCAGTCTGGGGCTAATAAGTCGGGCCTCTGGGCCTGCAAGTCCAAGTCCCTCCTCCTGGGACTGGTCCAGGTTCTTTTCTACCAACCAGCCAACCACCCGCATTGGCCTGGTGACTCCCACCATATTTCCAACCAATCACAGAGCACGGCGGCTCCTCTGGGAGACCTGGGTGAGTTTGCAGGCCTGTCTGAGCCCGGCTGAGCTGCCTCCCCTCTGAACGGCTGCATTTTCACATCCAGATCTCTCCATTTTTGTGTCTGCCTGCCTGGGCCTCTGCCCCCACAGCCTGCCAGCACCAGGTACATGCGATGGTGGAGTTCAGTAAACACGCACGAAACATTGAGGACGGGGGTGGGAATTCGTGGAGGGGGGGGAGGTGGAGGTGGATGGAGACAACCTACTTGAACAACAACTTTTAAAAAGCAAGAAAAACACACTTATGAAACAAAATTAAATGAGTGATGCTCCAGCTTGCTCGGGCATACCCTGCAGACACTCCCTGCTTCCTTCTGGGGTGAGCACCGCAGCCCACGGGAAAAGAAGGGCCCCTCCAAAGCCAGGAGCCCAAGCCACTCCTTCCTCGGGCTCCACAAAGCCATAGACTCAGACCACCCGGTGCCCAGGCAGAAGAGGCCCAGTTAAAATCTTCCCCGTGCTCTTAGCTCGTTTTCTATACTCTCAGGAACCCAGCTGAAAGCAATAATTAAACTCATCCCGTGGTTCAAGGGAAGTCCAATGTACCCTCGACCTGTGATCGGGACGAGAAGAGTATATCCTCACGGGCCACCGCAGCCCACCCTCCACTCAAGTTCTGCATGGATGGGCCAGTGCTGCTGAGGGAGTGCTTCCTGTCCCCTGGTTATCAAGGGACACAACTGCCCAGGATCTCCTGCTTTGCAGGGACAGTCCCCCTAGGGGGAGCAACCTCACCGTAAAACCAGACCTGCTTCCAGATGGGGCGGAGCAGGGGGAGAGTGAGACGTAGGGGCCAGGCACACCCAGTAAGGGAGGCCCTGCTTCCCTTCCGTGAAATGCTCAGAGGACGAGGAACAATGGGGTGCTGGGAACACAGGGCGTGGAGGGAATTCGTCCGAATTACGTAAGCACTTGTTTTGTTCCCAGCTTCCTCTCCGTCCGGACTTAGGGAGCTCCTTCCAAAGAACACTACCTCACGGCCTTTCTAATGCGTGTGGCATTTGTACGGTCCCCATCTCAGGAAACTCTCTATGGAGTGTCCCCTCAACCTGCTGTCCTCTTCAGTGGGGACCACAGGCCACCAGGTACCCAGGGAGCCCTGGCTGGTCCCTATTGCTGGGGCGATTCTTAGTGCCCAAGTGATTCTATGTAGGTTTCTCTGATTAAACACCCATCGGAGGAACCCAGAGCTCTGCCCCCTCCCCCACCGTCTCTAACAGGAGAGATCCCCTTACACCAAACAACAGATATACTCTCATATGGACTTTTGATTCATCCTCCCAGGCGTGCCCTTCCTTCTGCCAGGAGCGGCCTGGCCTCTGCCCCAGGCCTTGCCTTGCACGCTGCCCGTGGCTTCCGCCACGCTGTATACCTGCACCCTCTTCCCATCATGTTACCCCAATACCTGGGTCCTTGGTTGAGGAGCTGGCAAAGGGAACAAATCGGATGCCCCACGGTTGTACACTGTGTTGTCATGGAGCCTCTCGGGGTGCTGAAGCTGAGATGCAACTCCCACAGGGGTCCGCCTGTGGCGGAGCTCAAACAACAGCCAGACGCTCAGGGCTGGGGGATCCTGCCACATGGGGCCCCAAAGCAGGCACACACACAGCCCCCAGCCTTTGACTCCGTCCTCCCTACACGGTGGACCTCTCCCGGCTGCCTGTGGAGCCCTGTGAGATGAGGTGTGCAAAGCTGCTTACCTGTGAGGTCTGCAGGGGCGGAGATGGGGTTGGAGAGAGGCCAGGCAGCTTCTCCAAATTGCAGGTGGTGGTAAACAACCCGAACAGGTATTGAATCAGTGTGCGGAGCTCGGAGAGGTGGGGGAGATGGGAGAACCACCTGCCCCCGGAGCCTCACAGGTGCAGAGCACTGCAGGTGAGTGGGAGGGGTACCCTCATCAGTGGTACCCTGTGTGAGTCCTGAAAAGCACCTGCTGAGCCACCCTGAGTGACAGGTGCCAAATGCAAATGCATCGACCCCCTCTTCTCACTCTTCTGGATGAGTCCTAATCCCCCAGCGAAACTTCTGATCTTTGGTGCCCCAGAATGCAGCGCTCTAATCCCATCATAAGCAGAAAATGCATTGTGATTGCTGGCGAGCAAGTTAGGACTCCTTAGAGGGGACCGGTAGGCTGAGAATGGGCCTCGGCCTCCACAGAATAGCTCCTGACAGAGGCGCCGTGGTGTTTCAGCTCTAACCTTAAGGAAAGAAGAGACACCCAGTTTGCAGGCCTTTAACAGCGGGCACGTCCCAAGTCAACAGAAAGACAGAGATAGAGGCAGACACTTGAGTCACGCGTCTTCACTCCATTTTATTACAATGGCAGGGGAAGTAGTTGCACAGGCCGGGTGACGTTGGGGATGACACAGACACGAAGCTGCTCACAGCCGCGCTGTCTACACCTTGCTAAGAGGGAGGAGTGTGGGGTCTCTGTACATGCAATATGGGACTGCTGTGCGTGTGGGCAGTGGGCAGGCGATTCCTCTCTAGGGGGGTTACTTTAGTTTCTCGACAGATGGTGGCTGCACTCGGTGTCTTCTGGCCAACTAGGAAGGGGCTCCCCTGCTAGGACTGGGACCCAGCCTTCTTCTTCTGGAATTTTCTGAACTGGGACTGAATGGCCACCGCCGCGCGTTCTGTCTCTGGCGCATCCATGTCGATGTCAAACTCTTCTTGAACTTTCTTCTGCCCATCTGCAGCAAGGAAAACACAGACATAAGGCAACCCCTGAGCTGAAAGCAAGCAGGAAACCAGACAACAGATTCAGAAGAGCCCAGGCCCCCGGCCACCGGGAGGCACTTACCGTCCCCAGCACGAGACCTAGTCTGCGAAGTGAAGCCCAGGGGTGTGTGTTCTGACCCCCACCCAAATCGGCTGTCTTCTAGCTGCCTGAACTCCACACCTGCCCGGGATGAGGAATCTCAAGGAACCATCGCAACATTTCAGACACTTTCTGTACGTGGTTGCCTGTTCCTCGTGTTCGTATTTTACATATCGTGTTAAACGTATCAGCTGTGCTGTTACTTTCTCCCGCATTTTATGTAGACGCAGTTGAAATGCTGCTACAGATATTAACCCAATGAGAGTTGCTATTCACAGCAGCTCCGAGTTAAAATCATTGAGTCTCTGTGCAAACTTCCCCGGCCAATGAGATTTGTTTATTGAATTAAGGCTTCTGTTTGTATCATGGTCACAAATAGATGTTACCATTTGACCTTCACAATGAGGCCGCTTTCACAAGTCTTAACATTTGGTTCCAGCTAGGCCGGCTTAGCAATTTGTTTGCTGAGACAGAAACACTTGGATACTTCACAGGGTGATGATGGTTGAAAACACAAGAGAAGCCAAATCAAAGTAAAAACATGAGCTGGTGTCCCTTGGTGCTGTGCACCGAACCGAGCACTGGCCACGGTCTCACCAAATACTAAAAACAAATAAATAAATAAAATGCTTTAATCTGAGAAGGGAAGAACCTTTAAAACCCCTCAGTCCAGTGAAAGCTGATCATCAGAGCCACGAAAGTCACCCTTGTTTGTTTAAATACAGACCCGAGCCCACCCCAGACTTGGGGCTCCCTCTTCACACAGCCGCAGTGGGGAGGGCTCCAGAGAGTGAGACCAAGTTCAATAATGTTGTCACTGGGGGTGGGGACCCGACAGCCCCCTTTTCTAAAAGGCTCTCAAGTGGCTCTGTGATGCATTAGGGGCTGAGAATCAGCTCCTTTGTCTGCAGATGAAGTACAAACAGGGTCTGCAGTTAGCTGATGGCAGAGCTGGAGACGGACCCACCCCTTGGCACCAAGTCCATGGCCTCTCTGCCACCTGGCCTTGCACCCGGAGCCTGGCAGTGGGAGGGGCACATCCAGACTGAGGACGGGAGAATCGGGGACACTGAGGCAGGATAGAAAGCCCCAAGTTGGGGGGTCGGGGAGGCAGGACAGGGACAGGGCTCTATTCCTGACTTTGTCACCAGGCTGCATGAGTGCAGCGTTTAACCCACGTGAGTCTGGTTTGTCCCCTTCCTCTCACGGTGACTGGGAATGGTGACATTTAGGCAGCACAGGGGCACGGGGTGCTGGGATGGCTGAGAGTGAGGCAGGCTGGTCTCTCCTGCTCCCTCTGTTCTCTATCTCTGTCTCAGATGCAGATCGATAGATCGATCAATAGATCCATAAGAGATAAGTGATCAGTTAAATAGATAAGCAGGTGATAGAAGATGGGGATTTATATCTATTTTACACACTGATACACACACACACACGCCCTTATTACAGATGTGTCTGGTCGAGAGACGCGGCCTCCACAGCCCGTGGAACGGCCTCCCCTCGATTTTCCCAGAGACTTTTAAGCAGCTTCTGCCGAGAGCTCCGTACTCACATCTCCGTCTGGGAGCAGAGGACACAGCTTTGCAAGCCTTGCCGGCCAATCGCTCCGTGACCTAAATCAGCAGAATTGTTTTCCTCTATCCCAGATTTGCTGGAGCTTTCGAGTCCGCCGTTGTCCAGGGACTGTTTGGGGGCCGTTAGTTTAACCCGTGAGCACCCAGGTGATGCCTGGGCTGTCTCCTGTACCAGGGTTCCCTCTCCGATGGGCACTTCAGGGGCCCTTCCTTCGGGGCATCTCCTCAGGGGTCAGACCCCCGCAGCGGCCGGAGATCCCTGAGCCCCAACTCCATGCGTTAAAAATGCTCCATGAAATGGAACAACAACAAAGTAATTTAAAATAATAATGATAAATAAAATTTACAAGAAATAAAATAAAATGCTCCGTGACTGGGAGCACAGGAGCTGAGACCAGAGAGCGAGTGCCCGGCCAACCTGAAACTGCAGCCAAGCCTTCAGTATGAGAAACATTGGTGAGGGCAGCACCTTCACGCTGGGAACCGTCACCCTCTCCAGATGATTTAGGGTCCCCGGGCTCCTCCCCTCTGAGGACCCCTTGTGTCTGCTGGACCACAGTTGCAGCAAGGACAAACTCGCTCTGATTCAGAAAGAAATGGGAGACTTCGTCCTAGATGCAAAATGTTGCGGCAGCCCGCAGTTTTCGGAAGGGCCTGATTCATCTTTTTCCTTTTATAATAACAAAAGAAAATAGCAATATTTTTCTTGACAACTGATAAATGAAAATGCAGGAAATTATGTATATTTAGGGAGTATTTAATGAGACAGTAAGGACAGACCATAAAAACAAATTTCACAATTATATCTAACTAATATCTTCAGCCAGAAGTGATGTATAGATTCTTGCCTCATTTGAAAAAAATATTAGAGTGCTTAAAAAAGCAAACCACTAATATTTCAAGAATCCTTACACTCCATTAACTTTGAAGCCAAGTGCTCCCTGGGGACAGTCTGTGTTGTTCCTCGTTCTGCTGCACTAGCCGGGGACAGGCAAGGCAGAGGAGGGGGACCCAGAGTGTGATGGAGAAGGGACAGCTAGTCAGATTTAGCACCACAGGGGTCCTGGGACCTGGAAAAGCACGGCTCTGAGCACCCAGGCTCAGCAGGAGCATCAGGGGACGACAAAGGATGTGACCTGGAGGGACCGCAGCCAGGTCCCAGCTCGCAGAGCCTCAGGCCTGGCACTAACTCCAGTCATGGAGTTGCCGCCCCGGCTCCCCATCTGGGATGGCAGGGACGGCCACAATGGGAGGGTTGAAGGTGGCCCTTTGGGAGCCTCCTGTCCTCACTGCCACTCAGAGACACAGAGGCAGGGTGCTGCCGACCCACAGCACCAGGGACCCCTTCTGCTGCTGAAACCCAGAGAGAAGATGCCTGCTGGGAACCAGATGGGTGCTGGGATGGGTGCTCTCCACGGGGTGTGCTCCATCCCCTCACCCCTCATCATGGTCCTTCGTGGGGCAATCGCTTTGAGACCGGTTGACCCTGGCTCAGCCACACAGAGCGTGGAGACGACACCCAAAGGCTGTGCCTGACTAAAGACCCCTGCCGCCCAGGACTCAGAGGGCCTGTGATGACACCCCTGGGCCAGTGCAGGAGGAGGGGCCCAGCCGCCAGAACTGGCTGCACTCAGCGCTCCCGGGCCTCTCCGCAGGGCAGACAGCAGGTCTCAGTTCGCAGTCGCTTCCAGGTGGCTGTGCAGCCCTGTCCTCGTCCCTCTCTTGGGGCTTCATCAGGAGGCCTGCGAGGGTGCCACCTGATGTTTTAATTTAGGGTCCCGCTGCCTGAGGTGGGCAGACTGTATGGGCACCCTGCTCCCAGCTGCAGCTTCTTGTCAGTCTCAGCAAACAGGCAGCATTTCACCGGAATGGTCTGTGCACTGCCCGGTCTTTCACAGTCATTATTCGTTTCTGCCTCAGGGTCTGGAATTTCTTCATTTCTATGTATCCCCCTTGAAGAAATCCTGAAGCCAAGCAGGATAATGGTCAAGAGAGTCCTCGTACCAATTAGCGGGTTTAATATGAACAGCCGGTGCTCACTCCCTCCCCCGGAGAAAAAGGAGACCTGACTTCCTGACCTTGGAGCTCAGGGGTAAGAAGAATCCATAACTGTAATGTCACATGTGCCTGGGGGGTCAGGGCCTGCGCCAAGCCTTTCGGGGCTGACCCAAACTCTACCAGGTCCGCTCCCTGAAATACTTGTTCTCAAAGATAGGGGGCAGTCTGAGGAACCGAGGCGGAGAATCCATCAGGCTGAGCAGCTGACATTACCTACCCGCCCTGTACCCATCCTCCATGTGCCTGTCTATCTTCTCCCCCGGCCTCTCTCTCTCTCAGAACAGAGAGTGCAGCTGCAGAACGGTCCCACACAATTAGACTGCTCTCCCAGGGCAGAAACTTCATCCAACTAACAACACCCAGCCCGGGGCTCTGCCAGGGAGCCGGGCACGGTGAAGAAAGGAGGGCCCCGAGTCTCAGGAGGTCTCGTGGTCCAGTTCTGCCACGACCTCCCCTCCAGGAAGGACCCCAGTCCTGTTCCGATTGACTGCAGATACTTCTGATGCTCTTCCCCTGGAATATTTGCTTCTTTCTGTTGCAGAAACTGAGCCAGGAAGGGGCCCTGCTATTTGGTATTGTATTATGTCACCAGAGAAAGGTCTGGTGGCCCCTCCTAAGGATGCCACTATAATAACAGCCACCAATACTGAGCTGGTTGAATCCATCCCCCCTCCTTGTGGACTTCAGTGGATTTTCTTCTACAGAGAGTTTCCCAGCTAATGTAAAAGAGAGGGTCATGGATAGGGAGGGAAGGGACTACTACCAGCTGAAGACAATTCCAAATGAACATTACGAGCCTCCAACATCATCATGAAACCGCATCAAAAGGGAATGGGTTGCCACACTCCCAGCCCGTTTGCAAGCATCTATTCTGAGAAACGCAGAGTCTCGCGCTAGAGTAGTAGTTATCCCATCAGCCCGCTACCCGCCAGCCTGTTCTTATGAGCAGCTGCAAAGTACCACTGACCAGGAGCTTAACCAACAGACATTCTCCCACAGTCTGGAGGCTGCAAGTCCAAGGGCAGTGCATGGGAAAGGTTGGTTTTCCTGAAGCCTCTCTCTCTGGCTTGCAGACAGCATCTTCTTGCTTTGTCCTCTCATGGTCTGGTGTCTTTATTTTCTCATAAGGACGCCAGTCAGATTGGATTAGGACTCACCCGAATGACCTTGTTTCAACCGACTTCCCTCTTTAAAGGCCCTGTCTCCAAACACAGCTCCATGCTGAGGGCCTGTGGGT